AAACCTGATAGAGCTCTTCCAGATTGTACTTGATAGAGGTGCTGTTCTGGATGGCGCCCACTGCGTCCCGAAGCTTCAGCCACGTGTCCTCTGTGTAGTTCTCAGCTAGCCTTGGCCTGTCTGTTACAAAACCACAGCAAAGTTCATTAGAGTTGACAAAAAATAAATAAAATACACAAGTTTATCACCAGTGGAAGGTTTGAAAAAATCTGTTCGATTATTTTAGGTTGTGCCAAAACATTTGGATTCAGGAAATATCATTTCAGACAAATTACTATTCACTGACAGTTTTAAAATCTCTAAGAAAATTTGAGTTTCACAAATAATTTCATTATATACTCAACTTGCAATAATTACCCTGAGAAACGTTTAGTTTTTTTAAGATTGAATAAAATACTTCACTTCTCATCTTCATTTCACAGTTGAACAAAAATACATCATGGAGGGAGTAAATTCTTTCATGCGCTTTGCATACACAAAAAAGTTGGTAAACAAACATTTATTAGGGCAAAAACTAAACAGTTTGATGCTTTTCACAAAGGTAAACCATTTATGGTCTTAACATCGGTGAAGGCTGCACTGAAGTCTGTTGTGTCAGTCTCCCCAACATCACAGACATCTACACCTCCAGATGCTGGAAGAGAGCCACCTGCATCATGAAGGACCCCACTCACCCAGCACTCACACTTTTTGCCCCACTCCCCTCAGGAAGGAGGTTGAGGAGTATTAAGTGTAGAACCACTAGACTGAGGAACAGCTTCTACCCTGAAGTTGTTAAACTCGTAAATCCCTAACCAGGATTATCACTGAAGAAAAATAATCACTGTAATGCCACTTTAATGGGTGATATGTGACTTATCTGGGCTACTGATTATCCATGCTGCTGATCTCATGAAGAAAATTATCCATGCTGCTGATTTCTTGCCTTTATGCTGCTGTATTCATACCCATCTGCTAACTACAGACTCAATGTTCGGGCTGCTGTTTAATATATCGTATTATTTTACATTATTATGGAGTGGTGGCACAGAGGCTAGAGAGGATGCACCTGTGATTGGAAGATCAATGGTTCAATTCCTGATACCGACAACATCAAAAATGTGAGTAGGACAGGTGAAGCACCCACACCTGCCTCCACCCTCATTTGCCCCACTCTGGGCCCTTGAGCAAGTTCCTTAAGCACCACCCTCTGCTCCCCTGGGCGCCCTAGATGTCAGCTCTCTGCTCCACACAGAGGGCTGTTGTAGCTCAGTGGTCTGTGGTTGCATCAGGAAGGGCATCTGGCGTAAAAATAATTGCCATGTCTTCGTGCGACTTAGTTCGCTGTGACGACCACTGACGAAGGGAGAAGCTGAAAGTTTATTTATTTTTTACATTATTAGTGTTTATCTTAGATCTTTTAGCGTATCATTTAGCATATATCTTAGATCCTTATACTGTACAGTGATTATTTTTATACTCTATATTTTTGCTATTTTTGGGTGTAACTGGGACCTTGGGTACACAACTTTTTTACCCACATGTGATGCAAATGACAATAAAGAACCTTGAACATGTAGGATTTTGGCAGATATTTCTACAATTACAATCACGCAAAAAGAAACATTTTCAATTTTTCACAATATGAATTTCCTTAAAAAGTTTGCAATCTTACATGCACTGATGTAATAGAAAATATTTAAAAATTCAGATGTTTTAATGATCAAAAATTAGCACGATGATAGCTCCGCTACATGTACTGTCATTGTAAATTTCAAACAAGACATTTAGGAATAAAATAATTAAATTATCGGTTTTCTTTGCCAACCAATTATCATTTTAATTATCGGTAAGTGAACATTAATTCAATAAAAAGTCATAAATCATAAAGTGTCAAGTTGTCAAAGGATGTATTGACTTTATTAAGTCAAACAAATGCGTTTTTTTTTTCTTTCAGCTTCTCCCTTCTTCAGGGGTCACCACAGAAAACTGAGTCGCACGAAGACTTGGCAATTATTTTTTACGCCGGATGCCCTTCCTGACACAACCACCGAGCTACCACAGCCCTCTGTGTGGAGCAGAGAGCTGCTATGGCGCCCAGGTGAGCAGATGGTGGGGGGTTGAGGGCCTTGTTCAGGGGCCCAGAGTGGGGCAAATGAGGGTGGAGACAAGCGTGGGTGCTTCACCTATCCCACACACATTTTGATGTTGTCAGTACCTGGGGTTGAACCAGCGATCTTCCCTTCTCTAACCTCTGAGCCACCACTCCCCTGAAATAAATGGTAATAATTTTAATGAATTATTTAGCAGCTGTGACAAGAGATGCAATGTAACCGGTAACTGTTTCAGGTAATAGAAGTCCGAATTAGTAAAATATGCAAATAATTAGGGCTGCACAGTATTTTAAAAATTGACTGCAATATCAAAAAAACTGCAATAAATAATAGGCCACTTTATTTGAAACATTCATGTTCTTCATGCAGTTATTATTTTTGGGCATACCAATGAACTCCAGCCTTGAGGCCAACATCTGGCTTAGATATTTGTGATTACAGAAGATAAGGTGAGGAGGAAAATGTGGGTTAATAACAATAGATATATTATTGTGATATTAAACAATACCGCACATTCCGATTTTTTTCTTATAACTTGCAGCATTTCAGGTTATTGGGTGCATCAAGCAAAATAACCTGCGTGTTTTAAACAGGGTCGACAACTTTATGTTTAATTAAATGACCCTAAACTTTTTTTTACAGCATGGTCTACTCTCCCATCTTAAAGTGATGTGAGAAACAGGTGGCAACAATACCTTTAAAATTTTTTATCACTATTTTCTTGGAGCCGCCGGTTTTGCTGGACGTCCTGGCCATCCCGTTGGTTCCGTGTCCCGTCAGAGCCGAGAAGCTGGCCCTCTTCTGTCGAGTGTCCTCTCCCATCATCAGATTAGGCTTAACGCAGAATAGTGTTTTGTTAAGTTTACCGTTTGTTGCGTCTCCCGTGTTCGCTGCGTCTCTCGCCGATTAACTAAACGTCTTTAAATGAAAGAAACTCGCAATCTATTTTAAAACCGAAAGCACTGACAAACACGAGACCTACTAAGGTTAGTTAATAATAAGAAAAAAATAACTACCGACTGCTAAGTAAACAGCTTGCTAACAGTGTGTTATCTAAAACTGCAACACACTTCGGAGACCAGTTTTTGTCCCATTAGCAACACTTTAGCTAATCCATATCATTGAGGACTAATTACAAGTTTTAACCCGTTTAATTAGTGAATGATACGAAAGTGAACAAAAATATAAAAGCGACATGGCTAGCGCTGATATAACAGACTCGTGTTTTTGGTAGCTGTTTTACTGTTTAGCATGCTAGCATAACAAAATGGCTTTTCGGTGTGGAGTAGACAGGTGCATCTTGGGTGAAAAACGGTGGAGCTGCATTCACAAACAGTTGGTATTTTCGGCTTTCGTTTACCGTCCACCTATTTTCAAACGCGAGAGTAGGCTAATTTTGTTTGAAAGTGTTGCTAGTTATTACTAACAACAATACAAATAACAATGGCAAATTTATAATGAAGCATTTATAATATAATATGGTTAAATCTTGAGTAAACTCATACCTGTTTGAAAACTTTTATAGTCTATTAAAATATTTTGTTAAACTTGTAGTGATTATTCATATTGCTGGTATTAGAAATTTTGACCATTTTAGTATTAGATTTAAAAACGTTCCATGTTGGTAAAAAGTCATTGTAGCTTTTCAGATAATCGTACTCATAGACATGATCGTACTGGTTGACATTGAACGCTTCACACCTCACCTGCAGTCAGGCAGGGTTCAGCGCAAATGGGCGGTGTTTGTATCCTGGTGAAGCAAGACCTGACCAGTAAAGTAATTTTCCCAGACCGTGTTTCGATGCCCACCTGAGCACCATCATGGCAATATGGTTGTTTAATTGTAAAAGCATTCCGTGACGGCTGCTTTCGGAGCAGTGCGGGTCGCCTGTTGGTGGTGTTCCGACCCCGGCCCGCCTTTAGCAGTCCTGTCTGTCTTCAGAGGTAAGTGTACGCTGGCTACTCCATGACAAACTCGGTTGGGAGTTGGTCCGCAGAACCGCGGTGTCCGCAGAGCATCATCTGGAAATGAAGGCTATCTAGAACTAGTAACAAAACCACATGGCTATTTCAAACACACAACGAACAGCTTCTTTAGCCTGACAGTAAATGTAGCTGAGCTAACAGTTAGCTCGCTATGCTACTAGCATTAGCTTTGCTCTTAACTCTCGGTAAATGTAAGCGAATATTGGTAGCTTAGCCATCGTGTAAGAAGTAAATGCTTTATTGTCAATGTATTAAAACACTTCGAGCACAGTGGCTACGACTTATTCCATGAAGGTTAGTAGGTGCAAACAAACATCCCACCTTCATATTTACCAGAAAACTTTTTGCTTGTCTTTAGTCGCTATATTTCTAGGGAAGCTAGCCGATGCTAATGTTATTAGCCTCTTGCGCTAAATAAAAACAGCGTGTTTGTGATCTTAAGTTCTGAACATTTAAAATGTTAACGAAATAACAAAGTTAAGTCTCGTATCTCAGCCACGTACTGATATTTGTAATCTTGTGATTAAATGTGTCAGGAGTCTGTGTGACAGTTTCACGATGTGTTCATTTGGAAAGATAAAAAAAATAGATTTAAATCACAGTTTAACCTAAATCACAAAGGCAAACCCACTGGTCTTTATATGTGGTCAGAAAATATTTACTGACTATAATCATGCCTTATTACATATGTAAATCTATTTTTCTTAATTTTAACGTTGGATAATAAATTTACAGCTTATACTGATTTTTTATGTATATAAACAAAAACAAGCAGAAAATGATAAATGGATAAACAAAAACAAATAAAGCGAGCTGCCTAAAAGCACCAGAGCAGATTTAATATCTCTGGTATCTTCTGTGATAATTACAGCCAAATGTTTAGCAGTGTACTCTATACATTTATATTTTATATCTGTGAATAGTTTTGTTAACGCTTGTCATTGATCATTCAGCTTAGATGCCTTGGCTGAGATGAGTGTGAAGGCTTTTGAGCTTGTCCCCGCTGTGGAGCGAGACCTCCTCATGGGCGACAAAGCTCGCATCAACATCGAGTGCATCGAATGCTGTGGGAAGCATCTGTACGTGGCTACTAATGACTGCTTTATCCACCACTTTCTGCTGGACGAGGTCACATCTTCCAAAGGGAAATTGACTTACTCAGCCCAGAAGCTGCTCCACAAATACCTTGGCCTGAAGAAACCAGTTGCTGAGCTGCGAGCTGCCTCTGCGTTGGAGCGTCTGATAGTCCTTTGCGATGGAATAGTGTTCCTCGTCGACATGGTGACACTGGAGTCTGTGCCATCAGCAGCAGGGGGTGGAGTCAGAATCAGAGGTGTGACTGCGTTCTGCATAAACGAGAACCCGGTGAACGGGGATCCTTTCTGCGTGGAAATGGGCGTTCTCTTGTCCAAGAGGCGGACAGTTCAGGTTTACATGGTGTATGAGGACAGAGTGCAGCTGGTCAAAGAGGTGAATACACCAGAGCAGCCCTGCGCCGTCAGTCTTGATGGATACTTCTTGTGCTTAGCCCTCACCACACAGTACATGATCCTGAACTACAACACAGGAGCTGCGCAGGATCTTTTCCCGTACAACAGCGAGGAGAGGAGACCCATTGTGAAGAGGATCAGCAGGGAGGAGTTCCTCCTCGCAGCTCCTGGTGGTCTGGGTATGTTACCTTATTATGGTGTAACATTTTAGAGAATACTGGAGAAAGAAGTGCAAAAAGATGACAAGCTAAAATCTCAAACTAGATTTAGTGTAGCACCACTGGTGAACATCCTCTGTTCTGTGCAGTGCCCTGAGATGACTTCTGTTGTGACTTGGTGCTATGTTAATAAACTGAATTGAATTGTATAACTGTCAATAATATATCTGCCAGTTCATTTAAAATGTGTATGTTTCCTCTTTTGGGGTTGAAAATCTAATGTTTTTTGCTAAGATGGTTTTATTTCTGTTTGTGAAAACAATTTTCTTTCTCAGTAGCACTTTTCTTTTCAGTTTTTTTTTATTAGTTTCTTGGTTACAATATTGCTTACCCATGCTATTTCTTTCCTACAAAACTGCTTCCCGACATCCAACCTGAAGGAATGTTTGCCAACGCAGAGGGAGCGTCTCAGCGAGCTCCGGTCAGCTGGTCAGAGAGCGTGATTGCTGCCGCCGTGTGTTTTCCATATGTTGTGGCGTTGGATGAGAACTTCATCACCATCCACAGCATGTTGGACCAACAACTGAAACAGACACTTTCATTCAGGGATGGACAAGTTCTACAGGACTTTGAAGGTATCGCCACACAGTCTGGCGTCTGATCAAACCAGCATTTAAAAGCAGGAATAGATGATGGTGAACTTATTGATGCTTGATACATTTTTCTTAAGGTGCTAGCATCGTTTTAATGTTTTTTCCCAGTGGGGAGAGAATAAATGTGTTAGTTTAAAGCATATTAAACTCAAGCATTTATTTTAGAAGGTCTCATCTTGGTTAAAAATTCAGAAATGAAGCAACAACTGCAAATGGTGGACATAACCTCTGCTGTGTGACATCACGTGAAGCAGATTTAGACTGAAAATTTGAAAAGTGTTAAAGTTCATTCATTCATTCAACCTTTATTTAGACAGGTAAATCTCATTAAGCCTCGAGGACTCATTTACAAGAGAGATCTGAAAGTACCACTGACAGCTGCAAGTGTGTGTTTTAGGGAAGGTCATGCTGGCTTCTACCAAGGCTGTTTACATTCTGGTACCTCTGCCACTGGAGAGACAGATTCAGGACTTACTGGCTGGTCACAGAGTGGAGGAAGCTCTCATCCTCACAGAGGGAGCACAGAGAATTATTCCCAAAGACAAGTTTCAGGTAATTACAGGAAAGCTGTTTTCATTATTACTCTTAAGAGATTTTAGCCAACATAAACTTGTCATAACTAGCAGGCCTTTAGGAATTATCTTGTTGGTGTAAATATTTATTATAGGTGTTTTTAAACTGTTGCATATTTGCAAAATATTTAAAAATCAGTGAAGGTCTGGAGGAAAAACCTTTGAACACCCATAGAGTGCCTGAAAACACATTGATTAAGACCACTTTAAAACATTACAAGAAAGTCTGTCGTATTTAGAGCAAAGTGTAAAGAAATAAGTAGCTGAAATGTTCTTGAATATAGCTTTATTCATGTTTGTTCCTTCGAAAAAAATTGTGTTTTTGTTCTGTTTTGTCACCATGCTTCTTTAGATTTTGCACAGAAGAATCCTTCAGCAGGCAGGTTTCATACAGTTTGGACAGCTTCAGTTTCTGGAGGCTAAAGAACACTTCAGGTAAGAAATGGACTTAAATAGTTCTTAGAAATTATTTTATGGGCTTTTAAATGGTCTGTTGTTGCAAACTGGTATGAATTATTCAAGCTGTTTTCTTAGCAAAACAATAGTTTAACTTCATTTTAAATGTAAATAACATAAATAATAATGTGTTTTTGCATCTCTTATCCAAAGTTGCACCCCATATTTCATTAATTTATTTTCCCCAAACTTAAAAATGTGGAAAAAAAAGTTGTTTGACCAAAAAAAAAAAAAAAAGCCCACAACTTTCTTATTTCAATTTACAATGTTTGTCCAGATTATTTTGTAGCCAAAATTCAAACTTTTAAGATTTCAAGAATTATGTTTTATATTTTACCAATTAACTGATGTTTAAAATAAATACATTATAAGATTTTCTATTTCAAGACTAATAAAACACCTTCAATAATAATCATTTATCTCCAGTATTTTTGTAGTTTTGCACTTTTAAATGCCTCTACAGTGGAGCCTATTTCTGTTTGTTTTGTTGTTGTTTTTTTGACCAGAGGGCAGACGTTAATAAAATTCTTAAAGTAGCTGAATTATCTGAACATCTCATCTAATCTACCTTTGAAGTAAACTTGTTTCTTGAACTCATTACCAGTTTCTGTGGACGTATATTTTTCAGAAAGGGTCAGCTGGACGTTCGGGAGCTAATTTCCCTCTACCCGTTACTCCTACCGGCGTCCTCCACATTCACGCGCTGCCACCCTCCTCTCCATGAGTTTGCAGATCTCAACCATCTGGCACAAGGGGACCAGGAAAAAGTGCTGCGGTGCAAGAAATTCCTTATCAGTTATTTAGGAGAGGTAACTACCGGTAGATAGAAAAAACAGGTTTTTATGTAATGTGTTTGCGTGTAATTTTTTGCCACTGTGATTTTTATTCTTTTGTACACACAGGTACGGAGCACAGAGGTGGTGAATGGCTGCAGGGAGGACGTGGACACGGCTCTGTTAAAACTCTACGCTGAACAAGATCACGAGAGCCTTTTAGACCTGCTCGCTTCAGACAACGCCTGCGTTCTGGCAGACAGCATTCCCTGGCTGGAGAAATATCACAAGTGTGTTTGCTGTTTACATTACAGATATTGCTGGAGGGGGGGAGAGAAGAAATCAGCTTTTTATAAGGAGGCAACACTTTTGTAGAAGTTATGTTTAATAAATATTAGGGTTGAGCGACTCACTGGAGTTTTATCAGCAATAGCTTCTTTTCGTTAACGGGGACAATATTTTCCACTTTATTTTAGCCAGAGCTGCTGCGAAGAGTCGTCATAACTGACGTCACTGATTATATAAATTCATCAACATCATTACTTTTTGTTTAAGGTATAATTTTAATGATATTTTATTTTATTTCTTGTAACTTTAACTGAGGTTTTCCTCGTGGATCAACAGGTGGATTTATTCAGCGTGACTCCTCACAGCATGTTTCAGAATCATTAACATTAGCTGTTAAACACAGACTGTCCAAAGAATTAAACTAACAATGTGTTTTATTTATATTTTGTGTTAGAGGTCGACTGAATTATTATTTTTTTCTAAGGTTGATGCTGATAGAGGTCTTTAGAAGTCAGGTCAGCTGACGATCGATACACAACACAGTTTCCTTTTTTTTTTTTTTGGCCCATGCATATTTTTAATTTAACAAAAATATACTATAACTGCTGAGCTTAACTTACAATTTAACAATTCTTAGAAAAAAAAAGAAAACAAATATGTATAGAAGGCATTCTTACTTAAACAGATTATCCAGTAACTGGAAATCAGAGAAAACCTGGAAAATGACACCTCATGTTCACATTTTCCAGACAGGGAAAACCAAACTAAAACGTTTGGGAAAACTCAGGAAATTTCTACACTGACCTTCTGTTTAAAAGATGATCTTTCTGAGATTTTACTGTGTACATGTATTAATGTACACCTTCTCTTTAATGATGCTCCTTGAATCACCACCTTATCTTAGTGGAGAAGTTTGAGCACCTGAATGATTCTAGGAGTTATGCTGTTCAGGGTAATTGCCTCTGGTAGGTTCTCCCAAGGCAGATTGGTCCTAGCTGACAGGCCAGACAAAGAGCAATTCTAAAGACTTGCATGAACATAAAACGAGGAGTTCGGATGTACCTTGCCCCTGCTAAGGACTCCCAAGAAGGCTGGGGACTCTGAACTGCCATTTAACGCCATCCCCCCCACCAAAAGTGCAGGGCAGCTACCCTCTCAACTTCCTACGAATTCTCCAACACACATGCACCAAGCCGGGGGGTATTAGTAGACCCACACCAGCTCAGCGCCTCTCACCATGGGCAACTCCAGAGTGGAATAAGGTCCAGCCCCTCAAGGAAACTGGTTTCAGAGCCCATGCTGTGCTTTGAGGTGACTCCAATTAGTCATTTAACCTTATTCATTATATCTAGTCGGTACCTCTCAACCTTACGCACAAGCTCAGGCTCCTTCCCCACCAGAGAGATCATGTTCCATGTCCCAAAGCCAGCTTTGGTAAGCCAGGGTCAGAGCGCCAAGGTCTCAGCCTTTGGCTACAACCCATGGCACTTCGCACCTGACTCGTATGGCCCCTCCTGCAGGTGTTGGGCCCACAAGTAAGCAAAACTATGTTGCTCATTTCCCCCATTGGCCCCGTGGGTAGAGCCCTGGTAACCTACATCTGGGTGCTGGAAGGTGCACCAGCTGGGGACTCCTCTATTTTGTTCAGTCAGAGTTTGATCAGATGGTGGGGGAAGTGGCCGGACAGACCTGGTTGACCCAAACATGTAGTGAGGGTTTGCTGGGAATGCCTGGCAGAAGAACCTGTCAGAAAGATCTTCAACTCGCACCTCAGTGAGAGCTTTAACTGCATCCCAGCTGAGGCGGGGGACATTGAGTCCGAGTGGCCACGTTTCTCTCCTCCATTGTCGCTGTGGCTGCAAGCTCGTCGGTGCTTCTCACGGTGGCCATCCTCGAGCTTGGTGGTGGACACCCCGGGTCGGAAGTCGTCAAGCTGAATGAGTCGTTTTGGCTGGTAGGACTCCAGAAGCAGCTGAGGAGTTTCGGTAAGCTAAGCGAGCTGCTGCTGTGGCTGTTGCTGAGGCAAAAGCTCGGATGTGGGAGGAGTTTGGTGAGACCTTGGATAAAGACTCTGGGTTGGCTCCGAAGAGATTCTGGCAAACCATCAGGCGGCTGAGGAGAGGAAAGCAATGCTTTACTAACAGTGTTTAGTGAGGGTGGGGTACCGTTGACCTCAACCTTGACGCTGAGAGGTGAAAGGAATACTCAAACCTTCTCAATCCTACCAGCACGTCTTCCATGAGGAAGTTGAGTCGGGACTTTGGGGTTGGTCTGTCCATAGCCGGGGCTGAAGTCTCTGTGGTAGTTAAAAAGCTCGATGGCAGCAGGGCTCTGGGGGGTGGATGAAATCCGCCCAGAGTTCCTCAAGGCTCTGGATGTTGCAGGGCTGTCGTGGTTGACGTGCCTTTGTAATATCGCATTGACATCTGGGGCACCTGGACAAAACTAAATAGTGGGCTACAGTGAGCAGGTTCGAGTACTTGTTGCTGTATTTCCATCTTCCTATTTGATAATCTGTTAGGTATGTGTAGACATTTATTTATTTATTTTTAAAATGGAAATAATTTCTGCCTCTGTAACAAAACAGAAGCACCATGGATGGAAAGTTTTGTCCAAAATAATGAATTGCAGCGACTCGTCAAGAAGAGAAGTTGTCAAAACATGATCCTGCAGGTTCCAGCTTTTAAATATGTTGAGTTGTGACAATACAGGCATCGTGACGTCAACCACTTTAAAGCTGCTTGTTGAACCCAAATCAGCCCAGAGTTTTTAGCCTGTCACCCAACTCTAATATCCACAATTAATAATTGTCATGCTGTTAATTAGTTTCATGATGGAGCCATAACTGAGCCCAGCTTAATTACTTTACTTGTAGAATGTAATCTTGAGGGGACACGCTTCACTTCATTCATTTCTTTTCTGTCTCAGATATTTTGCACTTGGGCTGCTCCATCATTGTAACGGTCAAGATTCAGCAGCGCTGCAGGTTTGTGCACCTAAACAGTCTAAATTCTGTTTATCTCACCAGATTATTCTTACAAAGTGAAAACAGTCTGTCGTTTTTTTTAGTTGTGGATTCGTGTGGTCGACGGAGAACTGCAGGACTTCACTAGATCTGATCTTTATGAGTACATCGTGGACTTTCTCTGCTGCTCCTCCAACCTGGAGCTTGTGTGGAAGTATGCAGACTGGGCCCTTCGGAAGGATCCCACCGTAGGTTACCAAAAATGTAACTCTGCTGTCCAGTTATTAGTGCACCGCTACCCAAATTATTACTGATCTGTCATTTTAAAAGCTCAAGATATTTGTTTTTCATTATTTAAAGTCACTAAATCCTTTAAATAGACTCTCAAAACTAAGTTATAGGCAACTTTGAGTATATTACAGCTAGCACATTTTCATATTTTGCACAGTGGTGTATTTGCATTAGTAATAATCAAACTTTTCTTTTAATTTTATCACAGACAGGCGCTCACATCTTTACCAGAAGGCCCGCGAGTAAAGATCAGTCTGAGCTGAACTCGGATGACGTGATCGCCTACCTGGGAAATCACAGCCAGGCTCTGCTTTTTTACCTGGAATATCTTGTGCTGGAGAAAAAAATACAGGTACAACAAATACGAATCGTGAATCACAAACATGACGAAGTACTGCGAGGTTAAAGAACGAAGCGTGCTGATTCAGACCTTTAACTGTTGATACAGTCAGATAGGAAACGCATCAGCAGAATGGCAGCGCTGATTCTCTGTGCTGACGAATCACTGCCGCTACAACCAGTAAAATGTAGAAAAAATAAACTGGAACTGTGAAAAGTGCTGACGTGAGAAGTTTCTTCTAGTCAGCGCCAACTGGGACCTACTGTTGGAAAGTAAAACCACCACTGATGCCCTTCTGTAGCAGGAAATGTAAGATTTTCTCAGAAGTATCAGTTCTTTGGTGAAAGGCTGAGACTTTGTCATGGATAAAGTCACGGGAACTGGAGCAGTTTCCCATCTGAACCACATCCTCAACATGAAAGTTTCAGGAAACTGATCACATGAGACCCATCCGCTCCCAGAAACTTCCTCTTATAGTTGTTGCATAAAAACTGAATCACGTTAACGCTGAGACTGGGCTGGGACTTTTGGAGCCTAGTCAGGGACAGTGTTTATAGTTTGAGCATTTCCGTGAAAATAAAACTCGTTTTTATTCACTTAAACACCCACATGGCATCCTCTGATTCGACCAGCCAAACCGTGTTGAGCTCATGTTCACATCACGTCGCTTTGTTCTTTTGTCTGTTTTGGTTGCCAAAATAAAATGAAGTGAACTTTTCTTCCTCTTACAGAAAGAGAAGTTCCACACACACCTGGCTGTGTTGTACCTGGAAAAGGTTTTGTCGATGCTTTCAGGGTTGCCGACGGGTAAAGAGCAGCTGGCCAAAGCTAGAGAGAAGCTCCAAGCCTTTCTCAGGGAGTCCAGCTCGTACCGAGTACACTTCATCTTAGGTAAGACAAACATCTTGAGATGATGGCTTTTTGACAAACTTAAGCTAAAATACAAGCGTCACTGCATTAAATCAAAAAGTAAAAAAATGCATCATGATTTATTTGCTTTTATTTAAAAAGATAAATGCAATAACGGTTACGTTTGCCTCCTAAATAATGCCAGAAATTACATCTAGTTTTACATTACTTGTTGTTTTGCTCTTTGTAAAGCAACATGAAGACCCCGACAAGCTGATGTTTGTAATTTATTAACTTATTAGTTATCAGCCTCCTTAGTTAACCTGCTGCACGCTAACTTTTGTAGCAAACCTTTGCTTCAAAACAGTGTTCCCTTTAAAAGAGAGTGAAACTCCTCTGGTAGAAACATCACAACTGACTGGTTATCTGCAGGATAAAATGTTCAACCAACCAAAAATGTATATTTTTATTATTTTTAGCAAATTTTAATGTTCAGAGGAATTTCCTCCTTGCCTACCTTACACAGCTGAATGACTGCTGGGATCAAGAGACAGATGTAGCTGCTCTGGGCTCCATGTGAGGGAAAAACAAAACAAAAACTCAACTTTGACTGATATCTTATTAAAAGGCTTTTAAACTGTAGAAATAGCGAGACACAAAGATTCAGTGGTTTTAACACCGTGGTATGCTTTTAAAACCAGCCCATACGTGCAATACATTTTATCAAGCATATGTCTACACTCTAAATAATATAATTGTGGTGTTTTTGTTTACCCTGATTAGGTAAAATAGAGAACTGTGAAGAACTGCTGCTAGAACGTGCAACACTACATGGAAGGCTGGAGGAGCACGACAAAGCCCTGCACATCCTGGTGCACAAACTCAGAGACTTCCGGTCCGCTGAGGCCTTCTGCATGTGGGCCTCGTCGTGTCGGGATCCTGCCTATCAGCAGCAGCTGTTTCACCTGCTCCTGGGCGTCTATCTGGACAAAAACTCTCCTGCAGCAGGAGGAGCAGGAGGAGGTGGCAGCAGCAGCGAGCTAGAAATGGCGGCCGTGGATCTCCTCAACCAGCACGGCGAGGTGTTTGATGCCGTCCGCGTCCTACAAATGCTCCCTGAGAACTGGTCACTACAGCTGCTGAGGCCTTTTTTAAATCGAGCCATCAGGGCCAGCACGCACACCTGCCGCACCTCCCAGATCGCACTTGGGCTCGCACGCTCAGAAAACCTTCAGGCGCTGCACGACCGGGTGAGCAACTCCACTTGTACAAAGAAACTGAGGCTATTAGAAGTTTTGTCAAATCGCTTTCAGTTTCAAATAAAAGCTTTTTATCGCCCGCTGCTGTGAGATGAAAGACAGCCATGATGTCATGGCCTGTGGTTTTCTGTTAGTAAAATATCTCATGAATGAGTAGATGGGTTTGAGTAAAACGTTTAAGAAAATGTTACAGCTACAACTAACATTTGGAGATACAGTAGTCCCTCGTTTATCGTGGGGGATCTGTACGCTGAAGTAAGTGGAAAAACCTCGAAGTAGTAGTAGTACAAGTAGTAAGTAGTAGCTTATTGTAGTATTTATATATAAGTATATGAAGGTGTTTTAAACCCTTCCCACACTCTTGCAATATTCTACACAATGTTTCTAAACTGTAAACGCTCTAAAAGATCACAGAACGTCATGATTTCATCTCCCTGCCTCCTCTGCTCTTTGCCACGCCCACTTCTCTACACAGAACAGCTGATCAGCTGTGTAACTGCAGCAGGAAGTTTATCCTGCAGCAGTAAGGGCTGCACAAATGTTCAGGAGGTGCTAAATAATTTAAAATAATTTATTTGAAATAAAAATTCCATGCCGATCGTGCGGCTCATCCGTCAATCAGCCAACTGTGTGTCACATCCAATCTTATTTTGAAAATCCACAATAAACGAACCACGAAGTAGCGAGGGACTACTGTAATCCAGTTTAATGTGGCTGACACAGTTTATAGTTTTACAGATAGCTAGAGTTTGGTGTGGTAGTAGTTGAGGTTCATCCCTGTCTCATATGCTGAAAACAACCGATTGCATGAAATTATTGAAATTATGGATCTAGTCAATTCTGTAATTTTACTTAAATGGCTCTTAACTAGTTTCTTACTTTCAAACATTCGTAAGAAAGGCAGTGGATGATATATATTCCCTCAAGGAATTCTATTTAAAAAAGTATATATATATAAAGATAAATGGGAAAAAATGTTTTTTATTTTTTTTATTTTTGTACTTCCAAATATTGGTCAAGGCAAATTGTTGATTTGACTGACTGGTTTTTATTTATTCATCTTAATGGCTGAATTTGTGAAAGCGTCAAGCAGCATCAAGGTGCTCCTGTCTTATTAAACTCCTTGTTTTGTTTCTTTTATTTCAGTTAAAGGAGGTGAAGAAACCCATCTTTGTGTCGGAGAAGAAAGGATGCCACCTGTGCCACAACACCTTCAGCGAACCCAACGTGGTTTGTCTGCCGGGAGGAGTGCCTGTCCACACCCACTGTGTCGCGCAGAGAATGAGAGACTCTCCCACCAAAAGACGGTTAACTAACAGCAGCAACCACACGTGAGGCCGGGCGCGCCACGCTACCGTCCCGACCTGTGACCGGAGGCACCGAGCTACAGCTGGACGCGCTGAGACGTTGGATGCCCGTTTGGGGAAGAAACGCCGATCGTCGGCTTCTGCAGCAGGACGAGCCGTGGAGTTAGTGGCCTACAGTTGTCTTAAGATATTTATTCATGTGCCGAAACCACAACGCATTTTCTGAATTGGAATTGCAACTCTGTGCACGTCCCGTCTTCGCTCACGCAGATCTAAACCCAAACTTTTAATTAAAGACAAGTTTTTGAATCCTGTCGCTAATATTTCCGAAGCATGAATTAATACCACCACTCACTTGGTTCTTGTCTAGTCGGCTTGTATTGTAATAAAACCGTCCTGACTTGCACATTTGCACGTTAGGTTTTTATTGTGAAACGCTAAAACGACTCATCAAAGTCTTTGTATCCGTCTCTTACAATCTTTGAATCACTACTGCCGCCACTGCTGCTTTTATTCCTCCGCTGTAAGGTCAACTGTTGATGTACCTCAAGAGTTTTACTGGCTGACGTCCCAGAAATGAATCGATTCAAATCCATCGGATTTTTAGAAGGTATTAACGGTAAAAACACGCTTTATAATCGTAAAAGAGTGACGTTTTACAGATGCAGTTTCCGAACTGCAGCTTGGACCAATTAATAAAACCTGCACAAGGTCAGTTTTATATTCTCATTAAATGTGAATCATGACAACAAATGTTACCCATCAGCTGCGACTTGTGAGAAATTAAACCTGATAAACGTGCAACGTTGTTTCTACTGTTGCTTTCTCAACACAGCGGAACTGAGTTTAAAATCATTTCATGCCTTTATGTGGCATGTACCGTTGTATGGGAACATGCAACGATGACGATCTCAAACTTCCCTTTAACTGTCTTGATTTGTTTTTATTGTCTCATCTATTGTGATTTTTCGTGCTCAGCGTACGCGTTAGCTTCTACCACACCAAAGTTTGGCTCGACATTTAATAAAATTGACAGGCAAAGACATTAAAAAACATAATTAAAGTGCATTCTTTCATTTCACTTTTTGTCCTGTATGCTCTTATTTATTTTTTTTTTTTATTTGAAAGTTCCATCCATTCATTATCTTTATCCACTTCTTCCTTTTTTGTCGCTTGGGTCACTAGTGCCCATATCCAGTCATCACTGCACAGAGCTGCACACGGGGACGTCAGGGAGTTGGTTGTGAAGACGGAGACTCAAGGACTCCTTAAGACGTGTCACGTGTATGATATGACATCCATGTTGTATCAATCAAACCTTGAAGATAATAAAAACTCTTGATGTTCCTTACTGACCAGTCAGACTGATTATCTTTTCGCACAGTCATAGCTGGCTGGGCATGGGCTCCAGTGACCCCTGCGACCCGAAGAGGAAGAAGCGGGTAAAGATGATGGATGGATGGTTTTTAATATTCACAGTCTCAGAACAGATGCAGAAAAATTATGGAGCGTGATGAGTGCAAATAATGTACATTCTTTTGAGACACTTTAACATAAATATGCATTTTAAAGTTCAGCTCTTGTTCTTTCTTATGCTCAAATCACTCAAAACATCCAACTTCAGCTGTTGGATTATAATAATTTACTCATAATATTGACTTCTTTTAACAGCATTGATTTGAACAAGGATTTGTTTTCCCTGCTTATTAAAACAAGCATTATTTTACACGGCACATGACATTTACACACCCCCCCCACCCCCTTTTATTTTTGGAAGCACATTTTACTGTCACATTTTATCACACAAAACGCTGATCCAGGATGACTTCATTCAGCTTTCCTTGCTGCCTCTTCCAGAGCTGTGGAGTTCTGGCTTAACCTTTAAATCACGACACCTCGCTCAGAAACAGATGGAGGTCGGCTGGTTTCCATCATGAATATACCTTGAAATAGTTTGTGGTGTTGTCATCAAAGAACACCAGCTTTTACTGCTTTCCAAATATTGTGTGTCAGAAAAACAACGAGGTGCAGCTCGGACCTAGTACATTATAGAAAGTCCATTAGTGTAGCAAAAGGTAATACTCTGTACGTACCTGGTTACTTACTAGGTACATACCAGGAAAGCATCCAGAAAATATCAGGTACGTATCCAGTGGCAGTAAGTAATATACATACCTGGTTATTTACCATGTATTACATTTAACATGCATGTTAGGCTGCATTCAGGCCCAGGCATCCCTTGCAAAAGAGATCTGTGATGTCAGTGGGATTTGCCTGATTAAATAAAGGTTAATAAACATGGTACTTACTGGGTAATTACCAGGTAAGTACCTGGTTATTTATTAGTACACAGTAGCACTTATTGGGTATGTACCTGGTTGATTACCAGGTGCTTACTGGATACATAACACGAATACACTGGGTTGTATTATTGCTACCACAAAAGCTTTTAAAATGATAACTCCAGTAATACTTTTAGCCTTTTGGGGTATTTGCATTTTTAATGTACTTTTTGTACTGTATTTACTGGGCACAGACCCAGTAAGGTAATTGTATGTATGTATACACACACATATACTGTATATATACTGCGTATGCTTAAAAAGAGACAGGATACATTTAAATTTTGTCACTTTTCTCCCCTTATTTTGTATAGTAGTCCAAGCAAATCTTTGGTTAATGTCATTAATTTTTACACTTTTGCTCTGCTTTTATTCAGGCCTTTATTGTTGGAGCCATCATTATTTGGTCAATTAGACTTTTGTCATGCAATTTATGTTGACATTCATTCAACCTTTATTTATACATTTCAGTCTCATTACGAGGGAGACCTGCTTTTTAAACTAAGAATGATGACAACAATAGACAATCATTTAAAAAAGCATGTTAATTGACAAGAATAAATGAAAGGAAATGGTATTCAAAAAACGAAAAATAACTTCAGCCAGATTGACAAACATTTTTATTTAAGTAGACTTTTTTTATTTACCTGTTTGTTCTATATTAATAAATTGATTACAGTGCTTGTTTTAGTGAAATGTGAGGGAAATTTTCCTGCAGACCATTTAGTAGTATAACTGCAACCTTCTCATAAATAAATCAACTTCCCTTATCGACGTTTTACTGTAACTCCCCCCTACTCATAGATGAAATAGACCCCCTTCTCCCCCTGCTGGCCATTATCTGTAACTGCAGCCTCTATAAAAAAATCACCTCCACCTATCGACGTTTTACTGTAACTGCACCCTACTCATAGATGAAATTGGCCCCTACTGGCCATTATCTGTAACTGCATCATACTCATAGATGAAATAGCCCCCTGCTGGCCATTATCTGTAACTGCATCCTACTCA